GGGGGGGGATTGTTTGTTTGTTTTCCAAGGCAATGTTTAACTCAACACATTTTTTTCTACCTCTGTGCAGATTCCTGCTACAAAAGAAATTTTCGTGTGTTCATAAAGTTCAAAGTGAAACTTGGGGTCTTCAAGGGCAACATTTATTAGCACTAGACTGGGCTCACAGTTGTGGCACACTTGTGAGACTACCATGTTTTAGTGTAACTCCAGATCTGTATCCTATGTAGCTCCTTAAAGGGTTGAATCTATGCATGTCACCTTGTATTTAAAAGTATTTTTAATAATCTTCTCCTGATACAAGGTGTGAGATGCTATCTCTTTTACAATAAGTGAAAGCAGACTGAGTCCTAGTTGTTAAAGCTGTGTCTGATAAATGTTTTACAAGCTGTGGGTCAAACTAACTTTTTGCTTTTCCTTGCGTTCTCCTCAAAATAGTGAGGAAGTCTGGAAGGTGGTGAATGGGTATTGCTCTTTTGCAGAGTATGAGGCCAACCTGGAGGATAAGATTACAGGAGAAACATCAGGCTATTTTCAGAGACTGCTGGTGGTCCTGCTGCAGGTCAGTATCTGTTTGTATATGGGCATGTGTGTATGAGTTTCACTTCTGTTTTCCTGTCTGATGTACACTTGTCACTTTCTGCTTATTAAGCTGGGATTCTAGATAGACCTGGTGATAGGCAGGGTTTGTTCTGAAACTGGGTCACTTCTGACTTGCAGGGTCAGTCTTAAGCTCTGTTATGGGTCATTTCCACATCTACTGAATTGAGAAACTTCTGTATTGCTCACAGGTATAGCAGAATGCCTGCTACGTTGGGTTTTGAAAGCAATAGGAGAAGAGAACATTTATTTGCTGAAGACACATATAAGCAGAAATGAAAAATAAGGCGATTTTGGAGAAGATGCATTAGGGGCTGACTTCTCACAGTTCCTCTTAAATGATGTCGTGGTTTAAGTATAACAGATAAGTTATTTTTTGATTCAACTTTTGATTCTCTAACAAGTTTTAAAAATTCTCTTTAGGCAAATAGAGATCCCGATGGTGGCGTCAATGAGAGTCTTGTTGAGCAGGATGCTCAGGTGGGTGAATGCCTTGGGCTTGGGGGCATTTCTACAAGTTACCTTGCAAAGAGAATACAGATCTAGAATTCAAATGTGAGAAAGAAATTGTTAAGGTTCTCTGTGTGTGCTTCTTAATATGTATTCCTTTGCTTTTATAAATTCTGGACAAACAAGTGTCAAAACCTAAAACATTGGGATCAAGATTTTTGGCACTTTGATCTTACCGTGCAAAGTGTGTCTTGTTTTGCTGGAAAACTCAGAAATGTGAATGGTTCATTCCTTAATAGCTGGCTTGAATTTCTCTCTGAATTCAATCCTTATGTA